CACTTTGAAAACAGAAGGAATGAAGTGACTTGGACAGGGGGCTGTGGGGACCCCACCTCCGGGGACTGTGCTAAGATTGGGAGAGCTGCCCAGGCGCCTGGAATTTGACTGAGATCAGATCGGAGGGCCTGCCACTGTGGCTCTCCTTCCGGGAGAAACTCGAGGACTTTCCAAGAAAAGTGGGTTTTATGGGCCAAAAGGAGGAAATCCTAAGGCAGCCTTTGACTGATGGGCGTTCTGTCGGAGTAGAATTTTCGGAAGTGGGAGCTTCCTGACTGGCTTTCAAGTGCATCTGGCAGTCCCTGGTTGGTCCATGCTCTCCTGGCCCATTCCGGGGCCTTCCGGGCTAGGGAGAGTCCCCTGGGTTTCCCTGTGTCAACCTGAGCAACACCCGCTCCTCCTGTGTCAGCCTGACAGTACCCACTCCTCCTGTGTCAGCCTGACAGTACCCACTCCTCCTGTGTCAGCCTGACAGTACCCACTCCTCCTGTGTCAGCCTGACAGTACCCACTCCTCCTGTGTCAGCCTGACAGTATCCACTCCTCCTGTGTCAGCCTGACAGTACCCGCTCCTCCTGTGTCAGCCTGAGCGACACCCGCTCCTCCTGTGTCAGCCTGACAGTACCCGCTCCTCCTGTGCGGCCTACGTCTGGCACACACAAGTCCCCGGTAGAGAGTTGGACGTGTGTGCCTGGAGGAAGAGCCAGGGGTGCATCTCCGGGGTACGGGGGGGGGCGGGTGCTTGCTGCTGGAGAAGAGGACATACAGGCCGAGAGGGAGCGGGAGAAGAACCCGGGGCTTGCCATCTGGTCTGAGACCAGCCATGGTTCCGCTGAAAAGGGATAGATTCGGCTTGGTGTCTCCGGGCAACTTCCTAAAGAGCAGTGCCCCAGACTTGGTCAGGAATAAACACACTGTGCCCTAACCGGTTTGGCTCAGTGGATAGAGCGTCGGCCTTCCGACTCAAGGGTCCCAGGTTCAATTCCAGTGAAGGACATGTACCTTGGTTGCGGGCACATCCCCAGTAGGGGGTGTGTAGGAGGCAGCTGATCAGTTTCTAGCTCTCTATCCCTCTCCCTTCATCTCTGTAAAAAAATCAATAAAAAATATATATTTTTTAAAAAAAGAATAAACACACGTGTGCGGAAGACAAGGGAAAAAGCTCAGGCTGAGAAGGAGAGCTGGTAGAAAAGCACAGAGGCAGGGGGGAGAAGGCAGGGGGGTGGGGGAGAAGGGCAGGGGTCAGGCAATGGTGGGCGGGTGAGGTGGGCAGCAAAGACCCAAGCTCAGGGCCAGCGCCCGGGCCCCGCTGCTTCGTCCACGCTCCATTTCCTCCTGTAGAAGGCCAGCGGGAGGCGCCGACGGGATTCCACTTCCCCTGCAATCCCAGCAGACAGAGCTCCTCTCCAAGGTCAGCTAGCGCCCCTGCTGGGGGCCCACAGCCACACAACCTGCATGGACGCCCAACCTGTATGAGACTCATCACTCACACGCGTGCCCACCCTCAAAAACACACCTGAGCATGTGCGGATGAAGGGCCAGGCTGAGGGTGGAGCCTGATTCCCCACACGGAGGCCCTGGGTCCACGCTCTCGGGGGTCAGTCGGCGAGCGTTGGCGTCACATCCCACAGCCTGGGTGGCTTCCCCAACAGAAACCTATCCTGCCACTGCTCTCGAAGCCAGAGGCTCCCAGTCTCCTGCGCCCTCACTGGCCTCACAGTCACGGGGACAGAGCTCTCGGGTGGCCTCCCCTTACAAGGACACCAGTCCTATGGGATGAGGGCCCCGCCCTCTGACCTCATGTAACCTACTTCCCTCCCCCGAGCTCCTGTTTCCACAGGCAGCCCCGTTGGGGGTTGGGGCTTAAACGTGTGGATGCTGAAGGCACGCAGCTCAGTCCATAATCCTGGTGACCCAGGCTGGCCAGCTAACCTCTCTGGGCCTCGGCTTGCTCCCGTGGGAAATGGGTAGCCAGCACCACCCGGGAGGGCGCGGTGAGGACTCGGTGGCCCAGGCACGGGAAGCATCTGGCGCCGCATACAGCGCACTCAGTGAACGGTGTTTGTGACTTAGCTCGGCGCCTCGTTTGTGGCTTCGCCGTCTACCCGGTGGGAGTGGATTTCGGAGCAGCAGGTCGATGCCTCTTCCGGACATCGCAGCTCGTCCTTGCGAAGCTGGCGGTGCGTCCACTGGCCGCCAGCGTCCGGGCTGCGGAAGGAGCGGCAGCGCTCACCGAGGCCTCCGGGTTCCGCTCCGGCCAGGCCCTCCCCGCCCGGGACCTGGCTGGGCTCCTGCAGGAGGCAACCTATCCGTGTGCTTCTCTCACATGAGTGTTTCTCTCCGTCTTTCCCTCTCTCTTCCACTCTCCCTAGAAAAAAATCTACAGTAACACAAGCGTAATATGCTCCCTGGACCGCACAGCCTTCCGGACGAAGCGGGGGCTGAGGGAGGCCCGGGCGGGGCCTGGGAGCCAGCAGCTGCGGGAAGGAAGGCCTACGCTCGCATGGATTTCATGCATCTGGCCTTTGTAAATAAATAATTAAAAGTAAAAACCAGTTTAAAAATAAAAAAATAAAAGAGCCCAGAGCATCTCCAGTACGGTCCTGGGTCTGAATACGGGCAGCAGGTTAATGTCCAGGACGCCAAGGGGGAGGGCCAGGCCCCTCTGCTGCTGGAGGCAGATCCTCGGGAATGTCCACTCGCTGGGCTGAGCCACGCCTCCCGCCTTTGCCCGGGGAGGGCCTCTCCCGAGGAAGCGTCCACGGGCTGGTGTTTGCACAAAGCCTCTCCCTGCTGCTGTGCTGCTGTGACTAACCATGGGCTCTGCCTGCTGAGCCCCTGGCGTGCAGGCCCTGCCCGAGGCTGCTCGGCGCCCCTTCCAGACCCTGCGCTGCCTCCGGGGCTTTCCTGACTCCAAGGCCGGGCCGTGGGAGCTGGGCTGACACGGCTGCAGGAATGGCCGGGGGACACCACCGCGTCCCCAGTAGCTTTGCAGAGGTCGCGGGGAAAGCGCACCCGCTGCATTCCGTCTTTCACACCCGTTGTGGCTGGTCTTTTCTCCAGAGACGGGAGGTGTGACCCCCATTCTGTCATCTCACATTGAAAATTAAGCTACTCCTGGCTCAGGTCCCCATAGGACTTAGGCACAACGGGGAGTGGGGAGGCCAGAGTCATGACTTCAGGGCTCTCCCAGAGCACACGAGTGTGCACCTGTGTGCATGGGTCCCTGTGTGATGAACACCTGTGTGCATGAACACCTGTGTGCATGAACAATTTGTACACGGGCCCCTGTGTGCATGGGTCCCTGTGTGCATGAACACCTGTGTACATGGACCCCTGTGTGATGAACACTATGTACACGGGCCCCTGTGTGCATGATCACCTGTGTACACAGACCCCTGTGTGCATGAACAGCTGTGTACACGGGCCCCTGTGTGCATGAACATCTGTGTGCATGAACAATTTGTACACGGGCCCCTGTGTGCATGGGTCCCTGTGTGTATGAACACCTGTGTACATGGGCCCCTGTGTGCATGAGACCTGTGTGCATGGGTCCCTGTGTGCATGGGCCCCTGTGTGCATGAACAATTTGTACACGGGCCCCTGTGTGTATTAACACCTGTATACACGATCCCCTGTGTGAATTAACACCTATGTGCACGGACCCCTGTATGAACACCTGTATACACGGTCCCTTGTGTGGATTAACACCTGTGTGCACGGTCCCCTGTGTGCATGAATAGCTGTGTGCATGGGCCCCTGTGTGCATGAACACCTGTGTACATGGACCCCTGTGTGCATGAACAGCTGTGTGCATGGGTCCCTGTGTGATGAACACCTGTGTACATGGACCCCTGTGTGCATGAACAGCTGTGTACACGGGCCCCTGTGTGCATGAACAGCTGTGTACATGGGCCCCTGTGTGCATGAACACTTGTGTGCATGAACAATTTGTACATGGGCCCCTGTGTGCATGGGTCCCTGTGTGCATGAACACCTGTGTGCATGGGCCCCTGTGTGATGAACACTATGTACACGGGCCCCTGTGTGCATGAACACCTGTATACACGGTCCCTTGTGTGGATTAACACCTGTGTGCACGGTCCCCTGTGTGCATGAATAGCTGTGTGCATGGGCCCCTGTGTGCATGAACACCTGTGTGCATGGGCCCCTGTGTGCATGAACACCTCTGTGCATGAACACTTTGTACATGGGCCCCTGTGTGCATGGGTCCCTGTGTGCATGAACACCTGTGTGCATGGGCCCCTGTGTGATGAACACTATGTACACGGGCCCCTGTGTGCATGAACACCTGTATACACGGTCCCTTGTGTGGATTAACACCTGTGTGCACGGTCCCCTGTGTGCATGAATAGCTGTGTGCATGGGCCCCTGTGTGCATGAACACCTGTGTGCATGGGCCCCTGTGTGCATGAACACCTCTGTGCATGAACACTTTGTACATGGGCCCCTGTGTGCATGGGTCCCTGTGTGCATGAACACCTGTGTACACGGGCCCCTGTGTGCATGAACAGCTGTGTGCATGGACCCCTGTGTGCATGGGCCCTGTGTACACAGGCCCTTGTGTGCATGAACATCTGTGTGCATGGGCCCCTGTGTGCATGAACACCTCTGTGCATGAACACTTTGTACATGGGCCCCTGTGTGCATGGGTCCCTGTGTGCATGAACAGCTGTGTACACGAGCCCCTTGTGCACGGGCACCTGGACCTGCATGTTTGTGCGTGGCCTGGCGGGCAAGTGTAGCTTGCTGAGAGCCAGAACACTCACGTTGCTCCCCTGCGCTCCCCGGGGAGGCTGACTCCCCAGCACATGCTCCCGGCATGCTTGGTGTGTCTACACCATGGACAGCACGGCCATGGCTGTGACACCCTGTGCAGGTCCCAGTGGGAACAGCGCGGGCAGCAGTCCCCCCAGCTCACAGAGGGCCCGTGGAGACAGAGAGCCTCTCACACTAAAGCCTCCACTCTCCTCTCCGCAGGGATGACGTGCCAAGCCCGGAGCTCCTACATCACCAGCGAGATCCTGTGGGGGTACCGCTTCACCCCCGTCCTGACGCTGGAGGATGGGTTCTACGAAGTCGACTACAACAGCTTCCACGAGACCTATGAGACCAGCACCCCCTCCCTCAGTGCCAAAGAGCTGGCGGAGCTGGCCAGCAGGGCAGAGCTGCCCCTCAGCTGGTCGGTGTCCAGCAAACTCAACCAACACGCAGAACTGGAGACCGAGGAGGAAGAAAAGAACCTCGAGGAGCAGGCGGAAAGGAATGGTGATGTGGCCAACCTCGAGAACGAGTCCAAAGTGTAGTCCCCTGGCCGGGCCCCTCCCCCCCAACCTTTCCCCAGGCCAGGCCACCCCTTCTCCTGCCCCCGTCCCCCCTAACCTCTCCTCGTCTCTCATCTTCCTGATTTCTGTCTCTCTAACTTCGTTCTCCCTTTGTTTGTGTTTAATTTTGGCGTTACCAGAAAACAAATCTTCAAGGTGTAAAATCTCTGCCTGCCCTTCCCCAGTTACTCAGATTGGAGCGGTAGACATGCATTTGGTTAAGGTATAAGGTGCCCTCATTGGTGGCCCGAGCCTGTCTCCTCCCTAACTTCCATACACCCAACTCCTAGAGATTTAACCCTCTTACCTGCATGTGCTAGACAAGACCAGGCCACTCACAAGAGTGTAGCGAACACGTGACCTGGGGTACACCTTAGGTCCAGTGCCTGTCCCAGTGCCTGTCCCTTCCTGCAGTGAGACAGAGTGAAGCCCTCACTTCCCTAGATCCCCACCCATGTCATCTCCAGGGCATCCCAGGTGTAGGGCCCAGATGAAGCAAAGACAGAACACTGTACATATATATGCCTTATGTAATCATTTTCTTTGTCCCTTATCAATAAAACCCAGCATGTACAAAAGTACTGTAGGACACAACTTCTAAATAATGTACATAGATACATAACTAGTGTAGGTTTAGATATGTAACTTTAGAAATAAGATTTTTTAAAAAGTAAAAGAAAAAAGACTCTCGCTGTACAGTAGGCACTTCCGTTCCGATGTCTCTGTTTTCTGAGTTGCTTTGGTCCCATTGACTGCTGGCCCGTTAGTGCATGGCCCTTGTTCTGTGTCCCACACTGGCAGCCCATTCAGGTACCTCCCTGTCCCCTCGCTGACCCTTTCATTGAATCTAATAAGCCATAGGCCTGGAGGGAGGTGGGAGGTCCAGCAGATGGCAAAACACACCGCCAATACACTGATATACTGTGAAATGTTTCCAACTGAGGCCTCTCGTTTAAGACAACCAGGGCCTCGCGGTCTAGCTGGGGGAGAATCCCAAGAGGACATTCTCGAGCTTGTCACCAATGCCATGTTCATGCTCCGCACACAAGCACTCGCCCTTTGTAGTTCAGGAAACTCTTCTGCAAAAACGCTGATTCTCCAGCTGTTCCCGTCCCGTAGTCACGGAAACGGCAGACTATGACAAGGAGACGTGGCAGGTGAGCAGAAGATGGTTGGGTCTGGAGTCATAGACTTCACAAAGGCTCCTGGTGTCACTGACCTCACACCCTGACTTAACCCTGCACTCTCCCCGGCCCGAGGGCTTATCCATCGGCTTCTTGCATTGTCGCTTATTCTATTCTTTTATTATTACGAAATGACCAGAGTTCAACATTCAGAGATTGCACCAACGACCTTGGTGACTACGAAATCTCTCAAACGTACGCCACAGGTTAGAAATCAGAAAGTGTCTCTCAATCAAAAGAGAGAGAAAAAATGCAGCCTTAATTCATTGCAATCTGCAACGATAAATGTAGACAGAGAGGGGAAGATAAAGAGGAGAGAAGGAAGGAAAGAATGGAGGGAGAGCCAAGAGGGAGGGTGGTATTTTGTACTGAAAATCTAAATTTTAATATAAAAAATGTTTTCAAATAAATTTTTTAAAAAAAAAAAAGAAGAAAGAAAGGGAATCTTATGTGAAAAGGTCACGGGCAGGTGGAAATTTTGCACTGTGAAGATCTTTCCCATTAATTTCACTATTTTAACCGTTTGTTCCCTAACGCATCATCAGTACCCACTGACTGGATGCAAGTTCATTGTCAGCTCCCACAGCTGTGCTCGGTTTGAGGCTCCGCTCCATGGAAGGCCAAGAACTCAAACGCGCTGTCCCTCCCTGGGGACCTCGCTCTCCCGCACCAGAGCTGGGGGACCTTGTCTCCTAACAAGCGTGTGTGGGAGGTAAGGAGAGGGGCTCCTCGGTCTAACACGGGGCCTCTCCTCTCCCACTCCTAAGACTTTGCATCAGGACCGCTGCGTCCTGGCACTGACTTCCTGGAGACCAAGCCTGTTGGCCACGGCCCCTTCCTTTTGCCAACATCTCGCTCTGCGTTGAGGATCTGTTGAACCGTTGACTCATTCCATACGCGTAGGAGGAGGCTGCAATCACAGAGGAGGAGGGAGTCCCGTACCCTTCTTGCCGGGCCGTGGGCGGTACCGGGGCCTTTCCTCCGTGTACGTACGTAGCCTTATCCAGGGTGCTCTGGACTCGCTGCAGGGCACGGCCTGGCAGCACAAAGCGAAACCGAGCAGGGGTTGCAAAAAGTCTGCTGCGTTAGCTCTTGAAGACTCTCTGGGCCTTTTGTAAGCATGTCCTAAGGCCCGAAGGACCACGCTTGCCCTGGGGTCTGGTGGGAACAGCAGCTCAGGGCCCGTTAGCACAACTGAACACAGAGCCCGACAGGCCTCAGTCGCGCCCGCGGCGGCCGGTTCTGTAGGTGACAGGGCCCCCGGGCGCAGCCCCCCCGTCCCCACCGTCTCTGGCGTCCATGAGGTTGGAGACAGGACACGAACCAAATGTTTTTTTTTGTAACGTGAGCCTCTGAGTCTTTCCACGAGTGTCCCAGAAGATCCTTTTACTAGAACGTCCCGCGCAAACGTGTCTATTTTTCTACGATTATTGATAACAGTTTAACGGTGTGTTTTGTGTCAACTGTTAAAACTTGGAATGGAAAGCAGCTCCCTGAGACTGAATTTTTCTAAGCAGCGAGCGCGGGACGGTGTCTTCCCACTGGGACAGTTCCACAAAGATGCCCCCACCACTCCCAGCCCCCGCCCCGGATCCAGACCCCCTGCCCTCAGCCACTTTGTTAGCAGACCAAGTGCGATGACAATAAATAAGACTATTTTAATGCAGCAGCACCTGTGACGAGTGAGAATCGCTCTCACCTCGGTATTCTGGTGTCTGGTTGGTGTATTGCAGTCTTTGTTCCACAAAACCATGGTGGGGTCCGTTCACTGGATAAGCACTTTGACCTTCAGGTGACCCCCATCTGGAGAAAAGGGCAGAGTCACCTTCAAGCAGCACCCCCAGGGCGCTGGGACCCTCAGGCTCTCCCTCCCACCCGCCCCAGCTGGCTTTCCCCCTACGGAGCGCCCCTTCCCCTATGTCCGCTCCGTGTAGCCACCACAGCTGCTGGTGTCTTTGGCGACCCCGGGGCCCGGGGCACATCAGTGGCAATGCCGGTCATCGCTTCGCTGCTCCTCGGAAACTGGCATTCCAGCCCCTGGTCAGGGAGGAGGTGCCCTGTGCCCACCTGGCCCCCCTCCCCCATGCGTTCCTCTCCTGCTCACTTCCCTCCAGCCCCAGACCCGTCCCCGCGGTTCGGTAACTCACGTTTCCGCTCAGACATCAGCCACTGTCCCAGAGCGGGTCAGCCTGGCTCTCAAGCACAGGGTGAGGGCTCTCCTGCCTGTCTCCCATGACATCCTAGTTTCAGAATGACCGGTGACTTCCGATAGAGCCTGCATGTTGAAGTCTGCCAATGCTTTCCCTCCTACACTTTCGTATATTTTGGGTTTCTTCCTTTCTCCCCCTCCCCCCCCCCCCCCCCGCTTTGCTTTTTTTAATTGAGGTTTAAGCAAGCATCTTAGGGAGGCTCGGCAACTATTTGGGAAGGTGGGTAGTCAGAGAAGGAGGCTATACAAAGGCTGTTAGAAACTACACATGAACTCGCAGCAAGAATGGGAAAGCATTCAGTTAGCTGAGCAACTCAAGATGTGTTGGAAATGTTACTTGTCCGCAGTCCTTTCCCAGACAGCTCGCCGATAGGAGGTCTTCAGTCTTCCTTCCCCCGGCCCGGGGGCTCTGTGGCTCCGACGGGGCGGTTGGAAATGAATGTCCTGCTGACACCACAGACCTCCTCTCCCAGGAGTCCTCCCGGCAGGCGGCTGTGAGGTCGGAAACAGGCCGCACAGACAATTCATTGATCATATCAGCCTGTTTCCAGACCTGATGGCCAGCCAACACTGACAGAAATGTTATCCTTTCATGAAAATGGGGTGAAACACGCCTCGTCCCGCCGTCTCTGCCCTGGTGGCTCGGAGAGCCGCACACACAGCGTGGCATCTGGAGGCCGAGCTCGCCCAGGCCGCTAGAGAGGCTGGCGAAGCACAGTGTGTGCAATAACAAGAAGGCATGCTGCCCTACTGTGCGCCGTGCCTGAGCACTCCGTTTCATTCTAACCCATCCGGGAGCTGCGTGCTATAATCTCAGTGTTACAAATGGAAACCTAGGGGAAGGCAAATCTCTGCCTTGCCCCGGTCACCAGGCCTGCAAAACACACACCCTGGTCCAGCCCAGGTGCCGAGGCGTAAGCCCTGGGCTCTTTAACTACAAACACGGGCCGCACAGCAGATCTGCTCCCAGCACCTGGCCGCTGCCTGTTTTTGGAAGCCTCGCAAGCGAGGGGTGACTTCGCATTCTTCAGTTGTTGGGGGGAAAGTAAACAAAAGGAGACTATTTTGTGACATGTGAAAACGATGTGAAATTCTCACTTCAGTGTCACAAATAAAGTTTTATTGGAACACGGGCCCCCTATCCATTATTATCATTCACACACGCTAGCAGAGTTGAGGCTGTGCGGCCAGAGGCTGCAATATTTAGTTTCTGCGCCTTTCCAGGGAAAGTTTGCTGGCCTCCATCCATACTACTACATGCTATTAGTGCCATTCACTGCTGTTAGCTGGCCAGCATTGTGCTGCAGGAGTGAGAGATGCCTGGACAACTTAGAGCGATAATGCTCTTTCCCAGGACAGATGTGTAACTCAGCCCCATAGTTCTGTCCGAAGGGGAAAGAACACAGTTTTTGGTAAGAGGCCGACTGCTTCCCAGGACTGTGGTAGCCTGTCATAGTCAGGTCTCAGAGAAACACTCTCCCTTCTCGGACACCACCCCACCCCGAGGCTGTGGAGCAGAGGGACAGCCAGCCGGGACCCAGCGGCCTGCCCATTCCTGAAGAGCAAGGCACGGCGGTTCCCGGGCCAGTTCCCGGGCAGACACTGGGCCAGAGCTTCGCCGGACCCACGGGCACTTTCCTATGTCGCTGGGCCCCAGCTCTGCTCAGCCCCAGCTGTCCCTCCCCTCTCCTCCCCCCCCCCCCCCCCCCACACACACACACACTCAGCCTTCTCTCTCCCGCTCTCAGATCTCCGATCTCCCTGGCAGGAGGACAGCACTCACCCCTGAGCAGCCCCGCGCCCCCACATCCCCCCTCCCACCCACCCACCCACCCCCCCACCCCCGCCCTGCAGTGATGCGGCCGGGGTCACCCGCACTGGTTCTGGCCCCTCCAGTAGCTCAGGAAAAGCTTAACCTGCAGACAAGGACGTTCGTGCTTCTCTCGGAAAACCACCAGGTCGGGTGGGAGGCGCTGCGCAGGAGAACGGAGAGGAGGAGGGGGTGGGGAGGGGGGGAGGCCGGGCAGGAGAGGGGGTGAGGGCGGAGGGCTGGATGGAAGGGAGCCAGACAGCGGCTTGGCGATGCGTCCAGAGGACACGCGCTCCTCAGGGCCACTGAGCGGGACCTCCAGGTCCTAAGCAGCATTTCCGCAGCCCAGGACCCGCCGGCCAGGCGGCCTCCCTCTCCGGCCCCCTGAGAAGGACCGCGCTTCCTGCGAGTGCGTTCCTAGGAACCACCTAAGAGAGGAAAGATCTGTAGCGATTCATTGAGCTGCTGTATTGCCAAGACATACGTGGTGGAAACCGAGATGGACTTGGTCCCGGGTGGGAAGCAGGGATCACGCCCGCCATGTGGCTCATGCACAGTCTGCAGCCCCGCGAGGGCACGGAGCCCCCGGAGCACAGCGGGAGGGGAGCTCACGGTCCACCCGTGAAACTCAGGTCAGTGCAAAAGGCGTCAGACTCTCACCGGGCCTCGTGGCCTTGGTCAAAGGAAGCTAGATGCACCCACCGAATTCGGAGTCCTGGGCAAAGCGGGGAGAGAAAATACTTTAAGACACCAGATGGGCTCACTGAGGTCCCAACGTGACTAAGTGGCGGAGACGGGTCGCCAGTGCACAGGGGGCTTGCAGACTTCTGTTCAGACGCTCGCCACCCTCCCCAGAGGCCCGGACCCTCCTGTGCCCGTGGCTGGCCGGAGGAGCGTGGCCACAGAGGCCGCACGTCTTGGTTTCAGAGAGGGACGTGTTTCTGCCGGCAGATGGGACGGAGCGATTTCAGAGTAAAGCCCTGCGCTCGCACCGGTCGTGAAAACTGGCGTCACCGGCCACTCTACAGACACACAGGAAGGCCGCAGAGAGCAGCCACGGGGCGAAGAGACGCGGGACTCATCGTCATTTCTAAGAAATCAGGAAACATCCGTCCAGAGGCGCACGATGGCCCAGGAGCCCAAGCTCAGACCTCGCTCACCACCAACACCCAGGCCTGACTGACAGCCCGACGGGGAATGGCAATGTGGGGCGTCTCACCGTCACCCACGGCCACAGAGCGGGTCAGCTGGAGCCCGAGAGAGCCTCCGGCTGGGCCAGCCTTAGAGGAGGAGGAGGAGCGCTGTCCTCAGGTCCGCCAGCAGGTGCTGTCCTGGCATCGGCTCTGGCACAGCTGCCCAGACGGGGAAGGAACAGTGCCCTTGGGTCATCCAGAGCGTGGCCATGCCCACTTCTCTGGGCGAGCCTGTCCCTCCAGGCCTGGTTCCTGCCCATTTAAACAGTAACCCCTCCTCCACCACCACCCCCTGCCACCCCCCAGACATGTCTCCCGGGAACCCTGCGTCTTTGGAGCTGGCCTTGGCCAGCACTCTTGACCCCACAGAACACCCGCCTGGGTCAGGGAGACACCTCTCCTACAGGAACTCAAGGTGACCCTGTGAGGCCCCCGTGCACAGCGCTGCCCTTCCCCATACTGCAAGTCAGCACTGACGCACAAAAGGAGTGAGCGCAAGGAGGTGCAAAAACGTCCTCCTTTCCCTGTTCCCCTTCCCACGTCTCATTCTGGAGACTCCAGGAATCTCCACTGTGGGGTCCCATGATGCCCTGCGCACGCACTCAGCTGGCTCGTCGACGACCCCAGCCACCTCCCCAGCCGGTCTGGCCCTGCTCCCTCCCTCTGCACCCCCTCCCTCTGCTCACCCCAGGGGGAGTCTTTCCCGGCACCCGCTCCTGAGTGCCCACGCCGTCCTCGAGCAGCAGCCGAGGACCTGTTCCTGGGGCTGCCCCCCGCTCTGGCCGCTTTCCTGTCCACCCCCAGGTTTAACGGAGCCCGGACTGTGTCCGCAGTCTGACCAGCCGAGGTCGACGATGGGAAAGCGTTTGTTCCTGCCCCGGAGGCACCACCATCGTGATGCCAGCCCACGCTCCGCAGAGGGCCAGGGAGGGCTGTGCCCAAGGCCAGCCGGACTGCTGCAGGGGACTCTTCTTGTCCCGAGTGGCAAGGGGCTTGCCGACGATGGCCCTGCGTTCTTTCTTCAGCCAGGGGGGCCCGTGTCTGACAGAGAGCGCCGGGGACAATGGGGCGCTCCCACCTCCCAGGGGTCCGGAATGATGACAGATGCCTGCCTGTGCTGGCAGGGTGGTCTCCCCAACTCCACTCCCCCCACCCCCACCCCCACCGCCACCGTCTGCACAGACGGCGCTCGGGGAGAGAGCCTAGCACCCATGGTACCTGGCTCCCCAGGACCTGCCAGGCTGTGGCCGTGGCAGCCTGCCCGCCTGCACCTCGCCGTGCTGGACCGGCAGAGGCCTGGGGAAGCCGAGGCGACCGGCAGTGCCCAGGCAAACAGGTACTCACTCAGCACGCCACGTGTGGGACACTCCTGCTCTCTCTTCTTAGGATGGCATCTCCTTCAGCGGCTAACCTGCTCCTGAAAGAGCTGTTCTTTAAGCCGCCATTTCCCACCCAAATCACGTTCGTCTTTTTTAAAAGATCCCAAAGCCCAACTCTAACATGTGTCCAAAGAGCCGCCCGCATTAATCACCCAGCTCTGCCTAAAACATTAAAACTGGCCCCCAAATATTCCACAGTTTTATTATGTTCTTGTTATGTTCCAATAATAAGCCTACCGACAAGCCAAAGTGATTTAAAACAGTGGTTCTCAACCTTCCTAAGGCCGCGACCCCTTCACCCAGCTCCTCATGTTGTGGTGACCCCCAACCATAACATTATTTTCGTGGTTACTTCATCACTGTAATGTTGCTACTGTTATGAATCGTAATGTAAATACCTGTGTTTTCCGATGGTCTTATGTGACCCTGCTAGCGGTTCCGACATCTGAGTTGTCTGAACGTGTGTGGGGAGCACAGCTGTGGAGCCTAAGACCATCAGAAAACACAGGTACTTACATTATGATTCATTAACAGTAGCAACATTACAGTTATGAAGTAGCAACGAAAATAATTTTACAATTGGGGGTCACCACCATATGAGGAGCTGTATTCCAGGGTTAAAATCTGATTTTAAATGATTACAGATTCTTTTTTTTAACCTGATTTCCTTGTTTGGTTCTCATATGTGCCCTGACCAGGGATCAAACGCACAACCTTGGTGTCTCTGTGTGATGGTCTAACCCACTGAGCCCCCCAGACCCCCCCACCTCCCGCCAGGGCTGTGGCTCAGGCGGCTCCAGCAGGCGGCTGGCAACACCCTTCACCTGGATCCAGTCCACTTCCCCGAAGCAAACCTCTAGGCTCGTGGTCGGCAATCGGCGGCTCGCGAGCCACATGCGGCTCTTTGGCCCCTTGAGTGTGGCTCTTCCACAAAATACCACGGCCTGGGCGAGTCTATGTTGAAGAAGTGGCATTAGAAGAAGTTTAAGTTTAAAAAAATTGGCTCTCCAAAGAAATTTTCTCAAAAGAAATCTCAGTCGTTGTCCTGTTGCTATCTGGCTCTGTGGACTGATGAGTTTGCCAACCACTGGCCTAGGTTAAATCCACAGGATGCCTAAGCGGTAGCGTCTTCTTTAGCGCTGGGTCTGACTCCGGTGTGAGGGCTGCATGTGTGTAGACATTCATGTTTCCATGGGCCGGGGCGTTCCTTTCCCACCTCCACACGGAGCTGTCGGGAGCTTTGGAAGCCGCGCCCAGGCCCGGCTCAGCAGGCGGTGCCTCTGGGGTGCGGGCTGGCGTCCGGCCCCGTGCCCACTCCCACGCCCACCTCCTAAAAAGAGACGGGCGCACACACCTGCTCTTCTGCTCCAAGCCAGGAAGTTCTCCTAGGAACTCGGGTTTTTGATAAAATGCTTGCAGCCCAGAGAAGTGAAATGTTTTGTTTTCAAGGAGCATGCAGCTCGCCGAAGCCGGGAGCAGGCGTGCCCGCGTGTTTCTGTTCTCAGGGGTCCAAGCGCCCGGAAAACCAGACAAGCACACATCGCCACTGGTGAGAGCTGGCTAATGCCAGCTTACGTTCTCCATCGGCGCTGGCTGGCCGCGTCCGCTGCCCACACTCCGGCACACACCGTCCTGGCAGGTGGCTGGGAGCACTCCGAGGACCAGCGGCCTATTCCTCGCCAGCCTCCCGGCCGCCAGCTCTCCCCCGGGGCAGCTCTGTGCCCAGGGCCTGAGGCCACACCACAGCCCAGTGAGCCAGCGCCGAGGAGGACCGGAGGGGTGCTGGAGTGCACTGACTCCGGCCTCAGAAACAAGGCGACGAACTAAGAGGCTATGACAACCGTTCTGAAATGGAAAGCCGGCAGGTCAGCCTCCACACACGCCGTCATCATGGTTTTGGGGGCGGAAGGGCTGTTTCCTAAGGGTCCCCGAGGCTGGGTGGGATGGGGGGTGGAGAGCCAAGACAGAGTGCCTTCCTTTCCTGGGGGGCCAGCCAGGGAGAGGGTTCACAGACAGACAGACAGACAGACACACACACACACACACACACACACACACACACACACCGAGCCCGGTGGTGCCAAGGTCAGCCTGGGCGGGGTGGGGTGGGGTGGTGGCTAATCGGAGAATTCAATAAAATGTGCATTTTGAAAGCTGGGGTGAGGCTGTAGGGGACTCAGACTCCGGGCTAAGGAACCAGGCTGGCAGGAGAGGCAGAGCAGATGCATTCACAAGCCCACCATGTGCTTAAAGGCTCCTGGGTCCTCGGGCCTGATCTTTAAAAATAATCCCATACAGCCGAAACTGGTTTGGCTCAGTGGTAGAGCGTTGGTCTGCGGACTGAAAGGTCCCAGGTTCGATTCCGGTCAGGGGCATGTATCTTGGTTGCGGGCACATCCCCAGTGGAGGGTGTGCAGGAGGTGGCTGATTGATGTGTTTCTCTCATCGATGTTTCTAACTCTCTATCCCTCTCCCTTCCTTTCTGTAAAAAGTCCATAAAAAAAAAAATTATATATATATATATATATATATATATATAATTTTTTTTTTTTTTTTAAGAAGAGAAAAGCAGGCAGGGCTCCCGTATGGGTTTTGCTCCTGACCCATCTGGTTCTTTTGTAACTCCCTTTGCTCAACTCTTCGTACGTCTGTGCGTGGACGAGGAGAGGAAAGCATGCCAAATGCAAAAGCACAAGCTATGTATTGAGAAATCATTACAATGCCAAATCACTTTTAGAATACAACCTGTATCTTTAAGAACTTGCTGTGTTAGGGAAACTGTTTACATATTGAGGTGTTCCTCCTATTTTTGACTGGAACAATAAAAAAACTGACATGGCTTTGGCTTCGTGTGTATGTGTGTGTGTGTGTGTGTGTGTGCGTGTGCGTGTGTGTATGTGTGTGCATGTGTATGTGTGTGTGTGTGTGTGTGCCTATATATGTGTGTATGTGTATGTGAGTGTGCGTGTGGGGGGTGTATATGTCTGCGTGTGTGTGCACGTGTGTGTGCGTGCATGTGTGTGTGTGCATGTGTACGCTTGTGTGATTGTGTGTGTTCATGTGTATGCGTGTGTGTGTGTCTGTGTGTGTGTG